ATTTATTCATTTACTTATTCGTTTTTTAATCGGCCTAAATTTAATGGGTTCCACCCCAACATTTCCACATATGTATATCATTGGGTTTTGCTTATTCACCGCGATTGCCCTCTCTTGCCCCCTGCCCCCCCAGCTGCTCTGCTTTTCTACCCAAATAGTCCCACCTCTGCTCTCGTGCCTAACGTGGACACACAAGCCTCTCTCTTCTTTCATGAACATATCCAATTACCGTCCCATTACTCAGTTCAAGTTTAGCAAATCCATGTCCGCTCAACATCTGGGGCAACATCTGCCTCGAGCCCCCACTTGACCCCTGCATTACCTCTACCTCCTTTCTGTTATTGCAGCTAAGGCTCGTGAGCATCCTCTACTCCCCATTCTCACTCTTCTCTTTAAGAAAGGAGCAGATTTTGAGAACTCTTATTCTTTAACAGCACCAGAAACTACTGGTTGGTCCCTGCCCTGGTCCTACATCAGTGATGCAGCTGAACTAGGTCTTCCTAAGGTCTTCCTTAGGTCTCTGTTTTCAGTTCTACTTAGACCAACGTCACCTGGGTGTAGGTGCAAATCTTACTCCTTTTTATTGATCATCTACTTGTTTTTAATACCTTCTTCCTTGCTGGCTTATATTTGAGATGAGGTCTTACCAAAAAGCTCAACCTGGCTAGCCTTAAACTTCAGCTTGGGATCCTCCTGCCTCAGAATCCCATGTGTTAGAATGGCAAATGTTTGTCACAGTGTCTGGCTCTGGTCGTCCTGGTCTACCACCATAGTAGTTATCAACCCGTACAGTTCCCGCCCACCTATTTTCTTTGACTTTCTTAGGTGTTAAATGCTGTGAGCTTGGGACCCTCTTTGCCATTAAATCTCCATGATGAGGCACACCGAGTGCTACCTAGAATACAATCAACAAGGGCTATTTATGTGCTGTTGGCAGTTTGTAAGCTCTCCAGTATTAAGCAATAAAACAAATAGAAAGACATGATCCTAAACACAAACTAGAACGTTTAAAAATCTGAAAGTAGACATCTAGGATGGTGTTTCTGTCTCTATCAGTGCTTTATTGACTATATTTGACAAAACAAAGTTTCTCACTAAATTATAATGATGTAATATTTGTCATTAATGAATATACAATTACAATTAAAATGATAATGGCATCTTGGCCTCACAGCTACTAAGTAATCAGAAGCCTTTCTCATGACTTATCTATTTGTATAAGTGTAAATGTGCACAAGGGTGTGTTTATCTAGGGGGTGACAATGGGTTTGGCAGTCCTCGTGTGGTGCTGGCTGAGCAGTGACTAGGAAGGTAGCTACTGCATGTCAGGAAGATGCAGTAATGAATGCCTTGAGGGTCTGCGCTCTCGGGTGCGAGTGTGGGATGCGTGAGGTGGCCTGTATTACACACGAGTGCATCTCGTTCCTTAAGAATTCAAAATATTTAGGGGTGAAAGCATGTTCAGATTATACCAACATTTCAGCTTTTTTCTGGATTCTTTCACCGTGTTTTTCTGAGGCACCTTTTTTTCCCTCCCACACCCACTTGAACCATCTGTGTACCAGGCAAGTTGTATGAGATGTAAAGCAGAGTGAGATCTCTGCGTTTCACTTTTGAAAGGGCTGTGACTAATGCTGGGAAATGGCCTGCCTAAGAGTGCACATCTGCATGAACAGCTAGGGGAGCCTAGAAGTCGCTAGTATAGAAAGACAGGTCCTCAAGTTGGGTGCTCAGCACCAATGCTTTGGTACCATCCTATAAGAAGCACAGTCTGCCTGTAAAGTAGATGAAGCCCTCTACAATGGGATGCAGTATCACCCCCAAATGGTAACACGTCTTAAAACTTATGCATTCTAATCCGATATAATAATAATATAACAATATTTAACATCAAAAAAACTTGGGTGATTTTACTGCATAATTTTTTAGTTGAAAGTTCTTTACAAAAAAGCCTTACTGTAAAATTTTTTATATGCTTACTATTAATTAAAACTAACTTAACCATTTAGGGTCCCTTTCCCCCAATTTTGAGAAGCACAGAGTCTTAGGATTCGTGCTAGAATTTAAGAGGGCCCTTCTGTGTGCTTTTCTTTTAATCTGCTACAGATAACCTCCGAGCTCATTTTGGAAGTCTTTTAAATTTCGGCTTTAATAGGGTAGCACTTCACAGTTAACGTGACTGAGATTCCTTAGCCAGTAATGCAAAATAAAGGGCTTCAAATGTAGATTTCTGGCTTCAGAGCTCCCTGGCCACTTCCCTCTTAGCTCTCCCTGGAAGCCCAAACCAAGAGGCGACCCAACTTAGGCCTTTTGTGTGACTCTGCTGCAAATATGCTCAAGCGACAATCTGGTCCTGCTCAAATATGAACACGAGAGGTGACTTATTTATATGTTGAAATTTCTGAACGTTTGAAAGGCCTACCATGTGTGCTGTTAAAAGGTTTCTAATTTAAAATTATTGTGTTAGATAATCATGCTTCAAGTGACAGTGTGATTTATCACCACTAATCAAGATTCTGATCCCTCCTAGACTTGGTGTTTGTATCTGGTTTTGTTCTCTCTTACATAAATATGAGGTTTACATATAAAATTCTGACTGTGTAATAATAGGGCTAATGAGTCACAGATGGACAGATCCTGGCACATTACCATCTAATAACATTTTAAACTCATACTCCACAGTAAAAACAAAAGCAAATGGTACACATCTGTTTTCCACCTCGTGGCATTTCTGGGTTTGCGTAGAGTCGACGCTTCATGTACGGAGAAGGAGAGGAGGACACAGGTCATCTCAAACCCACCCAGCCACCTCATGCCTTATCAGAGCAGATCTGGCACAAGGGGTGAGGGTTCCCTTTGCTTAATTTCCTGAGAACTCAGAGCACTCAGCGGTGAGGACCAAAGGCTGAATCCACAGGACTGAAGCACATCTTCATGCTACAAACCTCATTTTACTAATTTTTATAAAAAATAAAACAAACAAGAAAACATATGCCCCAATCTCTGACCTTTGCTATATGGATATACACATTTAGCAAATGCCAAAGAGTTGCAATGTTTTTAACCCTATTTATTAGTGTATGTGTGTGTATATAGATAATATAATTGATATTATACTAATATATAATAATATTATATATCTATATACACACTAATATAATTAATATTGTACTGACATATATTATACACATAAACACACACACACATCCTCAAACAGAAGGGTAGAACAGACAGAAGAAACTGAGGCCATCCATTGTTGGACCGTCATTAACTTATATAGTAAACATGTTCTATAGTTTAAAAGGGACTAAAAGGCTGCAATTTCAAATGGTTTTTTTTTTTTTTAAGAAATGGAGCAAAGTCAATATTTCTCTTTCAGATTTTCCCAGTTGATACCACTGTGAGGAAAACTTGATGCCACTGGCTGCAGTCTTGGCCCCTGCAGCCTCCCTCCCCGATCCCCTACTCTCCTTGTCTAAGGAATCCTGAGTCTTTTCTGTCTTCAGGCGTTGTATGATCTGTCAAATTCTTTTGGAACAGTCACGTGACAGAGCGATTACTGTGAAGTGCAAGTGTAAATCACTCTGACGTGACATACACGTTATAAGAGACAGATTTCCATCTACCACCTCACAGAGGTTCCTGAACCCAGGGCAGAGACCCGAGATCCATCCCATTAGCACAGAGAGGAATTTTGACTTGTTGGGTAGTAACATTTATTTTACGTGGCGAACTGTTTGTTCCGAAAAATACTTCCAACCTGACAAGAAAACTGTGTTCACTGTTGTTGTGGATAAGAGAATTAATATGTGTGCTATGTGTATTGTATGTCCTAATTTGTAAACAGAATACCAGTGGGTAGAATGTTGTCATAGCAATGTCTACAGTTATCTCCAGTTTGCACTAACCCTTTAAAAAGAAGATTCCAGAAATATTAAGAGCTGCAAACGGTACACACGAATGCATATCCCATCACAATGAGTCTGCAGCCTGGCCGTTCCATGCTTTACGGAATGGCTGTTTTACTTGGAAGCCTTTTGTGTCTAATATATGTCAAAGTGTGTTCAGAACCTCAGCGGGAAGGGGGAGTTTTACGCATGCGCCTTGTTTTTGTTTGTCTACCGGTGAAATGTCTGTGTGACGTTTTGTGTCGTGTTGTTTTGGTGTTGTGCCACGTCCATAGGGCCTGCCAGGCTTCCCCACAGTTGCTGCCCTACACAGCAATCAGATCCTCACCGTCAAGGTTTGTGAGTGATATTCACGCTTACTCGGTCAGAACCGCAATCAGCATAAGGGTGAGCGAGAACCGTCCGTGGGCTTTCCCAGCTTCTGCTCCTATTGCCAGGTGACTAAGCTGGGCACCTGGGACCTCAGGTGTACCAGGGAGGTTGGAGCTGGTCTAAGAGAGAACCTCTTACGCATTCATGAGGCGGATAATGAAGTTAAAAGTGTACAGTGGCAATCAAAAGCACGGCTGCCCAGTAGGCGGTCTCTTATCTGTGGCTGGATTCACATATATTCCAAAGTTCTATGATGCTTTCCCTGGCAATCATGTAATTCTAAGGATTCTAAGCTTGGGGTGTCCATACCTGGTTCGTGCCACATTATGCTGATTGACAGATCTGACGGAATTGGAACTGGTGCTCTGTCCACAGACTCTTCTACTCAGGGTGCAGAATACAAGGTCATTCTGGTTCACTCGCTTCTGGGAGTGGATGCACTAAAACACGCCCCCCCCAACACCCAAATGATGGGGCATCCAAATGATAGGGTACTAAAAGTTCCCAATTCTAATAAAAAGTCAGGACTCGTTCCATTTCAGGGCTGTCTTTCTTCCAGAGAGGCCGAGGGTCTGTCAGACATGAGTGCCAGTTCCCTTTGATTTGATGGTCATTATGAATCTAATGTGTATATCTTTATTTCTTTCTCGGGGCCTTCTGACGCTTATTCCTCAACTCTCTCATCTCTGAACTTCAACCTTTGACCTCCTGACTGATCAGATGGTGTTTCCTAAGATCAATCATGGCTTTCTCTCTGCTGATCAGCAGCTCATTAAACGGCGGCTGATTAAGGTAGTGCTGCTTCCTGCTGGAGTCTGCGTTCTCCTCCGCGTTCAAGTACTGTCCTGGGCACGGCGGCTTTGCTTTTATCTCTTATGCATGGCGCACAGAGGGCGGGGGTGTCTTTGTAAATATCTCAGAATAGGGTTGTGTTTGGTGACTTATAGTATAGAAAGCCCACCTGGTTTGGTTCTTTTCTTTAAATCAAGATAGCTTCAATTGCAATCAGCAACAGACATGTTTCCCAAGCTCTCTGTCTGATAAATTATACACCTACTATGCAATGGAGCCAGAGCCCATTTTGCTTTATCTTTGATTCTGTGAACAAATATATTTTCAAACTAAAAATGCAACCACCCGTTGATCAGGGTAGATGTATCCTATAGAGCATTGCCCTTGAACAGGGCTTTGTTTGGGCTCTGAATACAGTAATCAACAGTGCTGCTGGGATGAGAGCTGCTTAGGTTTTCCTAGCATCTGTTTGGCTCTCCCACAATAAATTCTTGCTCCTTGCTGACAGGTAGCTTGCCAGTCGGCTTCATATTTATGGTGGCCTGGTTTCTTATGGGTAAATGTAGATTAGATAATATGAATTTAAAATGCTGAGATGGAACCTGAATGTTAATCGCTCATGATTATTGTTGCTTCATTCCCTTCCTCCCTTCCAGGGTGACCAAGGACAAGCAGGGCCTCCAGGACCCCCAGGTCCTCCTGGTCCAAGAGGCCCACCTGGGGACACAGGAAAAGATGGCCCCCGAGGGATGCCAGGAGTACCCGTGAGTTTCTTCCTGGGTTGTTGTGTTCCAATATTTTGTTCCATGTTTAGGGGTTAAAGAGAGAGAGAGAGAGAGAGAGAGAGAGAGAGAGAGAGAGATGGAAGGGGTGACAAGGGACAGTAGGGCCAAGAGTTTCGATGACTAGAGAAGGCTGGAGAGGGGGGATGAGAGGCAAGGGCCCTCCAGCACTGTTTCACTTCATGTCTGAGCCCAAGAAGAGCCAGAGACCTGAAGACGGCACCTGGGTGGATCTCAGGTGCTTTGGGACGTTCACAGCAAGAAACGCCCCGTCTTGCCTGTATCTTGTCTGCCGTTGAGTATGCCACTGCCTTTTTGTGTAAAGTGGGTTGTTAGCGAGAAAAACGAAGCCAGCTATCGATCCTGTTTTCTCAAAGGCCCACAATGGACACAATAAAACCCCACATTGATAATGGAAGGCAAGTGGATGGAGCTTTCTAATACTGATCCCTTGCAAATGACCTGGCTAAGAGTGTTTTGTGACAACAGATTAATGACTTAAGCGCCAGAGGGCGTGACCATATTATCACTTGACATTTACATCTGAGGCTTTATCTAACAGAAAGCACTTTTAAATGATCTCAACACTAGAATTAGTTATAGCAATAACAAAAACATGGGACACTGATGAATGATATGACTTGGTCCATGCAACCCAACCATTTCAAGGAATATTTGGACAAGATAAAAAAAAAAAAAAAAGACTGGGTTGATTTTGTAATTCCAGGGCTAGAAATTAAGGTTTACTGCTGAGTTAACTTTTATTTAATAAATTGTTTAAATTGTTTTTATTAGTGATGTTCTAGTTCAAAAGTAAAGATGAAAATATTTTCTAACAAAGTAGAAATATTTGAAAATAAAACCCGGGGGGGGGGGGGACTGAGATCAGCCATGGTTGTTAATGTTATTGTATGTTGTCTTGACATTTTTAATGTACATATTTTTGTATCGCTTTTCTAAGAATCAATCCATACATATGTGAAGATACAGGGCCTTTTATCCCTTTTTGCTGGCATCTTCTCCAAAGCCCCACACTCCTTTCTGAAGGTTGTGTGTCTGCTCATATGAAATTAGGAACAGACTCAATTGCCCATTGGGGATGCTTTCCCTGAACATTTGAAGGTGGCCAATTCATCCTAACCCTGCCTGTTTAATGTCTGACATTTTCTTAGACTGGCGCTCCTGGGAGAGCCTTCCGTGGCTTCAGGGGATGGACAGCTCTCACTGACAGATAGTCACCATAGTCGCTGTCTTCCAATACTCAGTTACAAACATTTGCTGGCTGGCATGGTGGTGTGCAGCATCAGTCCTGTGATGCTGGCACTCAGGAGGCGGAGCCAGAAAGAGTGCTTTAAGTTCAAGACCAGCATGGGCAGACGGGAGAGAGGGCTCAGTAGTTCAGAGCACTAGCTGCTCTTCCATGGAACCCAGATTTGAGTCTGAGCACCTACGTGGAGGCTCACAACTGTCTGTAGCTCCATCTCCATGGGGATCTACCACTGCCTTTTGACTTCTGAGGACACTGAACACGCATAGTGCACAGACATATGTGCAGGCCAAATACACATATACATAAAAGAAATATTCTTGAGGATATGTTTTAAAAGCCAGTATGGACTGCACAGTGAGTTCTACCAGTCTAGAGAACAGTGTGGAAATCCGTTCTAAAAAGAACCAAAACAAAGAAGCAATAGTCCAACATGTGATTGGGAGAAAAATGGCTAGGTCATCAAATATTATATATTATAGAAGAATCAAATATATGCTAGATGTTATTATTAGAAGATAGAGATAAGGGAGCTGGGAGGTGGCTCAGTAGGTAAGTGCCACACAAACTTGAAGGCCAGAGTCTAAACCCCAACATCAAGTTTGTAGCCCCATCATAGGGAAGGCAAGGTAAGAGGATTCTTGGTGCTTGCTGGCCGCCAGTCTAACCAAATCAGTGGAATTCAACTCCAGTGAAAGCCCTACCTCAAAAGTCAGGCTGCAACTGAGAAGACAGCAGATGCCAACCTCTGGTGATGGGAGCCTTCACACAAAGCGCAAATAAACTAAAGAATTCCACAGATAGTTTTGTCTTTTATAATGGCTCAGAGGAATTTTCCATATACTATCATAACCACTAGTAAAAAATTCTCTGTAGAAGTGAGACAGATGCTGGAGAGATGTTCAGCAGTCAAGAACACGGGTTCCCAGTACATGGTTCACCCCTACCTTTAACTTCCATCCCAGAGGGTCTAGTGTGCTCCTCTGGTCTCGGTGGGTACTGTGCACTTGGTGCACATGCATAAATGTAGGCAACACACTTACGTGCACAGAATAGAAATAAATACATAGTTTTTAAATGTGACCTGGAAAATACTCATTTTTGAAAGGCCATCATCATCTATCCATATTGGAAATACAGGCACAGATCTCTATAAACCAGTAGCCAGAGCCTGTTGATATGGTGTTGATATAAAACACAATAGTAAGTTCATATTAACCTGTTCATTGTGAAACAAAGCCACACAAAAAAGCAGAACATTCTCTATCAGTATTAATAAACATGTCTGATTAATGCAAAGGAGCAAAATTCAAAATCAGCCTCTGCTCATTTTGCTACTAAATAGTATGGGAAGAGGATTCCCTGGCCTGCAGTGGTTCTGCCTTTGTATCGGCGTGGGAGCACATGAGGATCTAGACCAAGCTTGTTAAAGTCAAATGGACGAAGCTCTTTGTTATCACATTTACTTTTTTAAACACTTTCTAATGTTTCTAATGACTCATCGTTATTAATTTTTTTAAGGGTGAACCAGGGAAACCAGGAGAACAAGGCTTGATGGTACGTATCTCAGTTTATTTTTTAATAAAATTAATAGAAATGTGTGTTGTTAAAAACTATGGTCAAGTTTATGAGTGAGTAATCAACCTTTTTGCATGAGCCATAACGGACACAGTCATTTCTGAAAGCTGGAAGAGAACAGTCTCCACTTGCTACATGCTAAGGATCACAAGGGTTCTGTTGCTGTGAGGAGACTCAACATGACCACAACAACTCTATGATAAAGAAAAGCATCTACTTGGGACTGGCTTAAAGTTTGAGAGGCTTAGTCCATTGTCATCATGGTGCATAGCAGCATGCAGTCAGACATGGTACTAGAGAAGGAGCTGAGAGCTACATTCTAATTCACAGGTGGCAGAGAGAGAGAGAAAGTGGGGGGAGAGACTGGGCCTACCCTGAGGTTTCAAAGACCACCCCCAGTGAAACACTTCCTCCATCAGAGCCATACCTCCTAATCTTTCTAATCCAACCAATGAGTCCTGAACATTCAAATACATGAGCCTATGGGGGCCATTCTCATTCAAACCACCACAACTGTATATCTCTAGAAACAATACTGGGGGGGGGGGTTGGAGGAAGGGAGGGAGGAAGAGAGAGAGAGAGAGAGAGAGAGAGAGAGAGAGAGAGAGAGAGAGAGAGAGAGAGAGAGAAGTTCCAAAGATAAGGAGAAAGAATGGTAGAACAGGTTAGAGGAGCTTACATAATCAGCTTGGTGTAACAGAGGTTAAATTCAGAGACGTGCCTGTTAGTTCTAAAAGAAACCTGTTGGGCTGGGAAGTTAGATAGTTCAGCGGGGAAGAGCATGAAGACATGCGTTCAGAGCCCCAGCTGGTGTTGAACCTATAACCCCAGGGCAGGTAGGTGAGGGGCAGGAAGACAGTTGGGACTTACACAAAAACCCTTGTACAGTCATAGAAAGAGGCAGGTTTTGGTTTTGTTTGTTTCTTTCTTTGCTGAAGGGCTCCACCCAGAGAGAAATTTGGGATTTCTACCGTCAGCAAAAGCAGAGTACACGGTGAAATGATGCTGTGTGAACGTGTGTGGACACAGCAATCACGGTTCCTTGCGATTTGTTAATTCATTGCCAGTGTATAAAAGTCATGTCAGCTTGTTGAGGCCTACAGGGCACATCTTCAACCCGCTCTCCACCTCTTCCTCTCTACCTGCTCTAACCGGCTGTATGATTTTTTTTTTAACCTTATTGGGAAAAATAGAGTGATCCTTCTAGAAGTGAGTCATGATCCAGAGCATGGCTCACATCCATCTGGGATGTAGACTGAGTGAGCCTAACAAGCCTACATGTCCATGCTCACATCACGCAGATAGTTCGGGTATAAAATTTATTTTAAGAGTTCTTACTGCATGCCTAGGAAAGCAGATGTACAGAAGCATAACAGCTAGCCGAAAGCTGAAGTAAACATGAAAACTAGCAAGAGAACAGGCTTCCTGCTGCAGAAGCCTTAGAAGGCAGTGCTTGAAGGAAAAGCCCACCCACTCTGCCGGTGGAGCTGACTAGTGGTGGAATGAAAGCACCTGAGATGGAGCTGCACACCACCACGCAAAAATTGTTCTATTCGTGGCCTGTAAGATAAAGATATATATTTGGTCTAGATTTTAAAAGGAAATTATAAAACATGTATCACTAGTAGCATGGTGCAGTTTCAAAGTGGAAGAAGAATTCTTGAAAGAGTAGGTTATACATTTTGAAATTGTTCTAGGCACCTATAATTTCTGGCCTGGGGGCTCAGCCAAACCTACTCCTTTTATTCATCCCTAAATTAAAATCTACTTGGCATTCTCGGGAGCCCTTGTGCACCCCAAGGCTGTGCAGATGTATCTCTCTCTGGCTCCTCTTTACACTCTGGCCCCTGATGCAGCATCCTAAACATATATGGTATTCCTAACTTAACGGGTGCTTTGGAGAACTATATTCTTGCTTTCCCTAACTGTTTATTCTCCAGGATAGAGTATATGAACAATACATAATCTCACTTTCCTTCCGTTTCTAGTTTTATTTTTATTCATGTTCTTGGAGTGCCAGAGTTTGAACCCAGGGCCTTACATAAGCTAAGTGCCTGCCCTACTTAAGCTGTTTCCATTTCTAATTTAAGTCATTAAATATTAATGTTTTGACTAGCCCTAAATGAATTATATTGTTATCTCACTGTGCTTCTATTTCCCAACTCATATAAAAACTTCCTCAAATGCAGATAAATATTGGCCATATTTTCTACAAACCTTTCCCCCTCTCTTTAAAGTCTTCAGATGAGTTCATGTCTCATTTTCTAGATGCAGCCAAGCAATGTAAATGAAATCACAAATGTCCCAAGGACTTGTGGGCTTAATGATCTTCTAAAGTGAATTTATAGATGATCTCTTTCAAAAGTGGAAATTATTGCTTTAAGTGAACGTTTCTTTAATGTGCAAACTGGTTAAAACCTGTTGTACATCTGTGATTATTCACAAATGAATGTAAGGAATGTACAACCCAGACCAATAGTGAGAAATTTCTGTGCCCCCCGTCCCCAGTCATCCCAAAGACAGCCACCGTTCTGACTAGTATCATCATGAGTTAGCTTCGTCTGCACTTGAATTTTACACTAATCGACTCATACAGTATGTCCACACTTGTGTCTGGACTCTTTCCTTCAACATTGTATTTGTGAGATCATCTACTTCTGTTTTAATAGCCTTCACAGCTGTTCAAAAAAAAAATAGGAGGAAGAACTTTACTTCCTCTATTACCCCGTTAAAACACCATCAGTCAGAGCAGCGGATGAATGAGGGCCTGTCTGACCTTGGGCAAGTCACTTAACCCCTCGATTTCTCATCTGTACGGAAAAAAATAACACTGTCTCTGCTCGCCTTAATAGCTTGACAGAGACAAATGCAATAAATTAGTGGAAATCTCTTTAAAATATGTAGTGAGAACTATATATGAGTGTGTTATTATCACTCTTTGTCCTCTAAACAGTATGAGTATGGATTTATATAACTGATGTATGCATGAAGGTTTTATTTTTTTACATGAATCAGATTCTCATTAACCCACCTATTTTAAAATTGCTAGAGAATTTGGTTCTTTAAAACAGTCCATTTCAGGGTCTGTTTTTGTACAGCAGCATAACTCTTTAATTCATCGTCTCTGCAATCTGAACTAGTGTGTTTTATACTTGTCTGCTCACACAAAGGATCCCAGCTCATTTTGACCCATCTCGAAAAGAATACTGGAAATATATTTGAATTCTTGTTTGTTTCGACTTGGTTTGGCCTGGGATTTTTGAGACCCATTTCCCAGCTTGCCATTTTCCGGGCTGGCCTAGAAATCACTTTGCAACTCAGGCCGGCTTCACACTCATGATCTGCCTCCCTGGCCTCCTACGAACTGGGATTATAGGAATATGGCACCACGTTTAGCATTCCGAGTGGTCATTTTTTATGAGACAAGAACTCGTCTACAGTTTTTATTTCGTGTGTCTCTCTGTGTGTATGTGCGTGTGTGCACACACGCGTGTGTGTGCGATGCTTGCTCACACGCACATGTACACACAGTGTTTTAACCTAGAAATCTGGAAGGAAGAAAAGTGCAGTGCCTTGTTCATGCTGGCATGAAAGCACCTAGTGTGTGAACATCGTCTTTGTCCTCTGTACAGATGCATAGACTATTGATAGTGCTTGCTGTTCTATGCATCTTGATGGATTATGAGCAGCAAGTTAAGTGAGGCCATTAGATGCTCCAGGAACTACAAGAAATCCCACAGATAAGCAGTATTCCTCTTGAGGAAACTGTCAAGCAGTGCAAGCAGCCACACAGAAAGACTCCAGGATAGCTCTAGGAGAATGGTTACCGGATCAATGGCAGTATAGCCCGGTCCATGTTGCCGTTGGAAGTACTGTCGCCTCTCTTCTACTTGTTGTCACCGAGTCTTCCATTTATCCCATCACATCATCTATTTTTCATGGTGTGACTGCTCATCCGCCAGCTCAAACAAAGCACAGTGAAAAGCGCCTCTCTTTTCCTCTCTGGATAGCCCCCCATTGGTTTGAGCGGCTCAGTAGTGCTTGTTAAGATGAGGGCTCTAACAATGCGCTGGGGGAATCTTTGTGAATTTCAAATGTCTCTGATGGTGAAATGAGGACGCGAAAACCAACCTACAAAGCTGTTTACGAGTGTGTCAGGTAGGGATTTCGTTTCCATAATCCAGGACAGATCGTTAGACTGCACGATAACCATCTGAAGATTAACAGCATGCCTGATACAATAAGAGGTGGGGGAACCTGAAGCTTAAGCAGGCCCGCTTCCCTCAAATCCCGCTCAGCATCTAGTCTGTAAATGTGACCTTCGGGCTTTCTGAGATGTTCTGGGGAGATTTTAAAAGACAGAATCTGGAACTTAAAACTTTTTCACTATATCTAAATAAAAGCAGACACCTCGTCCTGCCCCCCAACACACACTATACCGTAAAACCAAACACACAGCTAAGAGCTGGTCAGGACTGGGAGTGTACAAGGTTGAATTCTAGCACAGGTCATGTCCAGATCTGTCTTCCAAATAGTCTTTCTAAATAGTTATTGGAATTGTATTTAATGGCATCTTTGCTTTAGATTCCCTTACTGCTTTTGTTTTCTTTGACAAGTGAAGATGCTCTTAGAAACATGAAAGGTAGATGTCCTTTTTAAAAGATTTCTTATGTATTTAATAGATATTATTTATAATAACATTTATTAATATATTATATATGCCCTCTTCTCATATGTATGAGTGTTCTATCTGCATGTACAGCTTTATTCCAGAAGTGGTCATCAGATCCCTCTATAGATGGACGTGAGCCATCATGTGGGTGCTGGGAAATGAACCCAGATCCTCTGGAAGAGCAGCCGGTGCTCTTTGTCACACTAAGCCACCACTCCAGCCCTGTTGGCATTTTAAACACCTGCTAACCCGTGCCTATTTCCTAGTGATGTGTGATGCCCTTTTGTATATGTGTTGCTTTTATTGG